TCAAAAGTGAAAACTCTTTACTTTTTGAAATGTAGGTACTAGGGACACCTGGGTGGCTTAGTTGTTAAGTATCTGCCTTCAGCTCAGGGCATGGTCCCAGGGTTCTGGGATTGAGCCCTCCATGGGGCTCCCTGCTCAGCGGGAAGCCTGTTTCTCCCTCTCTCACTCCTCCTGCTGTTCCCTCTCTCGCTGTGTCTCTCTCTGCAAATAAATAAATAAAATCTTTAAAAAAAAGTTAAAAAAATTAAATGTAGGTACTAGAAAACTACATTATATATGAGTCTTGCATTGTATTTCTGTTGGCAGCACTGAGCTAAAGTCTCTGGTCAAGGACAGAATGAGGTATACAGATGTTCCACTAATATTTGACTGGTTGGTTGATATGGCTAAATTTCTTCATCATTTCATTATATTGACACAATTAAAAGCATAAGAGACTTTTTTTAAGTGCCCACAAGTCAAAACAAATGTACAGAGTGGTTATTATTAGAGAATCTCATGTGTAAATGAGTTATTTACTCAGCAACTTTTTGGTGATTTTTTTCTGCAAATCTTTAAGGACTGAAGCAAAACTCTTCAAACAGAGCTTTAGTGAAACCTGTGTGGTTAAGAATGGGAATGACCTTTTATTTGTCAATAATACTTTAGTAAAACTGGAAAAAAAAAACCACCCAAGAAAAGAACAGAGATGACCTTTCCGGGACTAAGAAATCCAATTGCTGAAATTAACTTTGGCAAATGACAATGAATCACAAATTGTCTGTAGGCCAGCTATGTTGTCAAATCTAATGGGCAAATCAGGATCACTGATGCCCTCTGGTTCCTGCATTTTCCTGATCTTTATAGTATATCTAACTGGAAGGAGTCCAGGATGCCAAAGGATGGGGGTAGATGCTATGACACTCTCTTGTCAGTACAAGACATGTTGGTTAAATCAAGAGACCATTTGATCTTCCTCCATAATGGTCCTTAAGCATGGAGCAAATGCCTCTGATGGTTTTCAACACAGGCAGAACTGGAGCCGGATAATACTCTCTGAATGCATTACTCCTTTAGCCAATTGGATTTGCAGCAAACAAGGTATCACTGAAAGAAATGTCTGGATTGGTTCTATTCTAATCTTTTGGTGGGAGTGGGAAGGTGGCTTAAATATGATCATTTGAATTGTTCCAGAATGCACCAGGGTGCTTCCTCTCCTTCTCCCCCAACATCTATTGACTCTTCTCCAACCACTAATACCTTCACCACCAACTCACCACCACCACCAGTGGTTAACATTTATTTAGTGCTTACTACATGCCAGGCAATTTTCTCAAAAATTTTTTTTTAAGATTTTATTTATTTATTTGACAGAGAGAGAGATCACAAGTAGGCAGAGAGGCAGGCAGAGGGGGCTGGAAGCAGGCTCCCCGCTGAGCAGAGAGCCCGATGTGGGGCTCGATCCCAGGACCCTGAGATCATGACCTGAGCCGAAGGCAGAGGCTTAACCCACTGAGCCACCCAGGCGCTCCACTTTTCTCAATATTTTTTATCTGAATACTCAAACCTCACTGAATACTCAAACCATTCTTTAAACTAGATACCACTCTTAATTTTCAAGATGAGGAAACTGAGGTACAGAGTAAAGTAAGTCGCCCATAGTTGCACAACTAATATTAGAGCAGCCAGAAGAAGAAGGGAGCCTGCTGATCTTGGTGCTCAAGACCACAGACTATGGCATCTGGAAAAGATTCTGTAGTCTAGAGAACATAAGAAAATAGATTGGCTTGGCCAGGGCAAGCCTGGTCCTGTAAGTTATTCCTTAGGCTGCTCCGGAACCTAGAGGTGTAGAGTTTTTGACCTCCAATCTTTTGCGGTCTCTGCGTGAGTGCCAAAGTTCTATAACGGCCTATGGCATTTTCCCAAGTGCCTAAAGCTTGTTCTTAATCACAGAGTATTGTTTCAAGTTTTGCAACGCATAGTATTGTTCATTGGTTTGAAGAAAGATATGTATCATTTAGTGAGAATAAATTATTTTTATTTATATTTATACATATAAATATTATTTATATTTATTTAAATATGATATATTTGTTACCCAAAGTGCCTTTGGGTACTTTTTGCTCCCTAAGGATATGGAAAATGGAAGTACCACATATACGTCGCAATCTTTGTTTTCCACCATATTCCTGCATCCTTCTGCTCTTCAGGGAGCCCCCTAGTGTTTCTTTAGCCTTGGCAACTGGCTTAGGTCCATGAAGGCATAGGGTGCAGGAAATGGATACAGAGGGAAAGCAAGAATGTGAGCAACAACAGAAACCACTGATCCACTACTTCATCAGGTTACCTGTGCTGCTTCATTCTGAGCAAGAGGTAGAGGAAGGTCATTGGCTAAACTCAGGTAGGGTCCATATAGACTCTATATGAGATGTAACAAATACCCCAACATTGTGTGTGTGTGTGTTTATTTTATTTTTATTTTTTTAAAAGATTTTATTTATTTATCTGACAGACAGAGATCACAAGTAGGCAGAGAGGCAGGCAGAGAGAGAGAGGAGGAAGCAGGCTCCCTGCTGAGCAGAGAGCCCAAAGCGGGGCTCAATCCCAGAACCCTGAGATCATGACCTGAGCCGGAAGGCAGAGGCTTTAACCCACTGAGCCACCCAGGCGCCCCTGCATATGTGTTTAGTAACAACCTGATAGATTTTTCGTTCTGAATGGTTTGGAGGAGTAGGGAAATAACAAGTGAAACACTTTCTTTGCTCAAAGACTTCATGTCCTAATGAAAGGGAGAAACACCCAATTAAATATCCACATGTCCTTAATGACTGAAGATTATGACATTAAGGTAAATTAGGTGTTTTTTTTTTTTTTTAAAGATTTTATTTATTTATTTGACAGACAGAGATCACAAGCAGGCAGAGAAGCAGGCAGAGAGAAAGGAGGAAGCAGGCTCCCCGCTGAGCAGAGAGCCCGAGATGCGGGGCTCAATGCGGGGCTCAATGCGGGGCTCAATCCTAGGACCCTGGGATCACGACCTGAGCCGAAAGCAGAGGCTTTAACCCACTGAGCCACCCAGGTGCCCCGGTAAATTAGGTCTTTATCAAGAACTACAACATGATAAGTTTTAAAGGGAATTGTCTTTACACAATTTCCAAACTTGCTATGGACTCATGGATTATTAGAATGGTATAAATTATTAGGAATTTTCTAATTTCCTCGTCTTCCATATGAGGAAACTAAAGTGTTAGAGTCAAGGGTTCGGTTTTCATATTCCCACTCCTTTGAACTTTTCCTTTGCAAATGAAATTATTTGCTTAATTTGCTTGTTTGAACTAAGCTTCCTGGTTCTTTTAATATGTATTTCAACTTATTTTCAGAGCTCAGAATATGTCAGTACTGCCTTCAATATATTCACAAAATGATAGTTACGGTCAAGGTGTACTCGTACATTAATAAGTAATTATCTCTTAATGTATAATTGCAAACAGGATCCTCATCTAGAATTTCTTTCTGTTTTTATAAAAAATTTCCTGTTAATATAAACCAAAGCAAGCAGCTGGATGACCACCTTTTTTTTCTTGAGTAAGGATCAATGTATCTACCTACAAGGATGACGCCAAGTATGTAGAAACTATAAACTGTATAATAACTAAAAATACTTACATTCAAATAGATGGCATATATATTTTGTTTAGGCAGGTTATACTTAGAATACTTATTAGGGCACAGTGAGTCCTGGGGACCTTTGAACATAAACTAATTACAAATTAATTGGTTGAACTTACTGATATAGAATTTGCAGGTGTCTAGTCCTGTTCAGTAAAGTTAAAAACACATGCTGGGGCAATAGGACTGTTCTTGATTGCACTGGGTGGTTACATAGGTACACACATAATAAAAATTCATTGAGCTGTACACTTAGGATTTGTGCATTTTACTGTATATAAATTATACCTCAAGAATAAAACTAAAAAAAATATAAACCAGAAAAGACTAAAAACAAGCGAAAAAACCCACCTTTTTGCAAAGGTTGCAAACAAACAAGTCTTTTAGTTATTTGTAATTTCAGATTTACTACATCTTAATTATGACTGATAAAGTGGCCTGAAACACTTTTTTGTTTCTCCTTCTGTTTAATTATCTTTCAATAAACTAAGTTATTTTAAAAGATCTTGTGATCCTTTAAAACGAGAAAGACTTACCCATTTGCAAGTAAGATGGTGTGGTGATTATGGGCTGAATTTTGTAGAATAAAACATGAGGCCATCTCAAGGGGGCAGGACACAATACTGAAAATGTTTCTTTCACTTCGCCCTCCTCCACCGCCTATTTTTACGTGTTACTTCAGGCAATGGTATTCAGAGAGCAAATGGGTCGCTCGACTAAAGAAACTTTTCCAAAGATGCTATTATTCTAATTCCATCCCACAGATTCTCAAAATTCACTTTTTCCTCGGAAAGCCACTTGAGGGCAGTTTGCTTCAGAAACATACCCAGCACGCCTGATTTTAGTACATTTAAAAAACAGGTTGCTATTATGTTTTTATCTCCCTGCGTAAAAACTCCCATTCTCTGACGTTTAGGCTACTTTTATTACAACCGCCAGACAGTCTTCTCTACGGTAGGTCAAGGAACCGCAGCTTGAAAAAACAAAAACAAAAACAAAAACAACCTATAAAACATCCGGTAAAAGGGGGAAGACTACGACTCCCAGAATGCAGCGCGTCCTCCTCCTCTTGCCCGCCTGTCCAATGATCAGACCCCGCGAGCCTCCTATCGGCCCCATTGGTCAGCTTTCCTGTCAGTGAGGGGAGAAACCAAGGGCTTCGGGTGTCATATTTCCCGCCACCTCGAGGTGTGTCTCGGGAAAGCCGAAGTGGAACAAGTTCTCGATTGGATATTCGCTCTTCTCGCGTAAGGGGTGTCAGCCAATCAGAATGTGAATATCGTTCCGGAAAACCCCTCCCCTTCCTGACGTAGCCTTTGGTGGCGGGAAAAGTTCGGAAGTTTTCGCGCCGGGGCGGGATCATCGGAGGACCGTCCGCGCGGTTCTGCAGAAAGCGGCTCCCTGGCGGCGAGCATGGCCGGGACAGTGGTACTGGACGACGTAGAGCTGCGAGAGGCGCAGAGAGATTACCTGGATTTCTTGGATGATGAGGTGAGGGAGGCGTGGGGGCGCGAGACTCTGGCGCTTGAAGGCCCTGGGGACGCTGACGGGCCGAGGGAGGCCACGGCGGATGCTGCCCCACGCCGGGCCGGGATGGGGCGGGGGACTCCCGGGAGGTCCGTCGGGCCTCCGGACTCTTGGGCCAGGGCCGGCGCCCTCAGGAGTCTTCCATGTAGGGTCGCGTAACGTTTCTCGCGGTGGAGTCCGCGGCTGGTCTCCTGTAGGTGCAGCCTTGAGGGAGCGATCCTGAAACTCTCCTGCGTGCTGATGGGGCGGGGTCTCGCGAAAGGCAGCGGGTTTCTTTCAAGTGCGCACAAAATGGCAAAGCTCGCTTTGACCTTTCGGAATCACTCCCGGCTCTCTCAAGTTGAAGGGAGTGTGGGGGGAGGAATGCTGTAGAACTGATGAGGGACAGAAGGCTGGCTGAGGACAAAGCAAAAGCTGACACCCAGCAACCTTCTCCGACCCCCCTCCTGAGTGGGACATGTGTGACTTTCTTTAGGAATCTCCCACCTATCTTAATGGTAATACCTTGCTAGAGGGGAAAATGACCTTGACAGTAGCAAGGCTTTCCTATCTTGTAGGTCCTCTTTAGCATATGAAAATTCTATTGAAACCTCCCTTTTCTTTACTTTCACCACCCCGTTGGTACAGAACCTGCCACCCTTCACAATCCTGGGGCAGCAGCTCTTTCTGCCCACCGGTCCTGTCCCCGTGCTTTAATAAACCACCATTTAGCACCAAAAATGCCTCAAGAATTCTTTCTTGGTCATCGGCTTTGGACCTCACCCCACTGAACCTCAGTTATGTTCTAGAACTTCATCAGAACGGTAGTGATCCGCTAACTTAAAGACCTGCAGGTACTGGCGGAAAAGACTACCTAACTTGGCTGCATTCCATTTCACTGCCAAAGGAGATGCAGAAAAGTGTTTGCTCTGCTGGCAAAGGGGGCTTTGTATGCTGTCCAGGATTGGAAGCCATAGGATATTGTAAAGCTCCTTAAAAGGGTGGGTAATGCTGGGTCTGTAAACAAATAGCGAGGCTTCCTATTCCTTTAGGTCTGGCTAGAGAACTCTTTTCCCTATTATACAGCTAATTGGGGAAATAGAATATTTTAATTCCCTCTGTAATTCTTAAGTGAAAAGTCATTTTAATCTGCTAATTTACATTTCGATAAGCCTTTTAAAATTTTTAAAAAAATTTTTTAAGATTCTTTTTTTTAAATTTGACAGAGATCACAAGAGGCAGAGAGGCAGACAGAGGGGGGAAGCAGGTTTCCTGCTGAGCAGAGAGCCCGATGTGGGGCTCCATCCCAGGACCCTGAGATCATGACCTGAGCCGAAGGCAGAGGCTTAACCCCCTGAGCCACCCAGGTGCCCCTTGATAAGCTTTTATTTGTCCTTTCTGACTTATTATGACCTTGTTTTAATTCGCCATTAGAAGTTGAGAAATGACTGCATACAGAAAAGCTGCAGATGATAATAGAAATCCTAACATGGATGTTGAGATTATTATACATCCTGCAACTGCCTCTGAGGGTGTATTTGGAATCTCAGGCTAGTGAGTGAAAATGTGGAGAAATGGGAGGTCCCTTCTGCTGCAGAGATTGATGGATTGATCTTGCTGTGAGAACTGCCTCTGTTTAAATACTGTCTTATTTTTGAATTTGTGCCTCTTGTGATATGTGGTGGTTATTTTGCAGGAAGACCAGGGAATTTATCAGAGCAAAGTTCGGGAGCTGATCAGTGACAACCAATACCGGTTAATTGTCAATGTGAATGACCTGCGCAGGAAGAATGAGAAGAGGGCTAACCGGTAAGTGGTAAGGGGCTTCTTCCAAGGGGCTATCCTGGCTCTGAGTGACAGTGGCCCCCTTTCTCTTCCCTGGATTGGAACAGGCTTCCCATGAGAGGGCCTGGATGGAATGTTTTTGACCCTCATTGCCTTACCTGCTTCTTTGTTTTTTTTCTTCCTCCCAAAGTAGGTGGTGGGCATTTTCCTCTCTGGAGCATCTCTTTCCATGTTTAACTGAGTATCATTTCTGCATCTTTGAGAAGCTGAATTAAAGTTAGCTGTCAGTTCTGATATAATTTACTGAGTCATCCAGGATGGTAGGAGAAAGTAGAAGCTAGATTTTCATACCACTTTTATTTTTGAGGGTCAGGTTTTTTTTTTTTTTTTTTTTTTTTGAGTTTTTCTCTTTCTGCTTAATCATCCTCTCTCTTGCTCATGTGCAGCCTCCTGAGCAATGCATTTGAGGAGCTGGTTGCCTTCCAGCGGGCTTTAAAGGATTTTGTGGCCTCCATTGATGCTACCTATGCCAAGCAATATGAGGAGTTCTACATAGGACTGGAGGGCAGCTTTGGCTCCAAGCATGTCTCTCCCCGGACTCTTACCTCCTGCTTCCTCAGCTGTGTAGTCTGCGTGGAGGGCATTGTCACCAAGTGTGAGTGGCTTCAAATCGGGGCTAAGGGAATGGAAGTGGGATAGTCTTAAGAGGGCCTGGGGAAGGAGGAGAAGCCGAGTAGAGCTGGGTAGCTTAGCCCTGAACGTACAGGGTGAAGCTGGGAGGAGCTGTGGTGTGTACATTGATGAAGGGGTCCAGAATGATGAATTCTACTGAGTGTGGGCGTGTCTTGGCTCTTGTAATCTCCTCATTTTAACTCTGAACTCCTATCATTTCTTGGTCAGGAAGAGTTGTACTTGACATTTTATATAGGTATGTTGATGTTCTAAATATAAAAATGAATAAATGACTAGTATTGAAGTAGCTTAAACTAGTCATCAGAAAACAGTATTTATTTAGAGTCATGATAGACTTGTCTGCGTCAGATTCTACCTTTGTCAATGTCTAGTTGAATGACTTATGCATGTTTTCCATTGCTAGGCTCTCTAGTTCGTCCCAAAGTCGTCCGCAGTGTCCACTACTGCCCTGCTACCAAGAAGACTATAGAACGACGTTACTCTGATCTCACTACCCTGGTGGCCTTTCCTTCCAGCTCGGTCTATCCCACCAAGGTGAGGGGAATGAATTAATTGGGCTTCTTGGGAGGTGGGAATCAAGGATGTCTGTTTTCATGCAAATAATTGAGTGATATCTGAAGTCTTCTAAAGTACATCAGATGAAAAGTGTAAGGATTAATCTCAAAGAAAGATTGATCGCTAGCCAGAGTTTAATACGAAAGTCTTCAATTCTAATTAAAAAAAAAAAAGAATAAATACTCTAGAAAATTCGGCAAATTGTAGAAAGATTGAAAAAAGTCATTAAGCAACGTAGATCTTTGAGCAAAGTTATATATAACTTTATAATCTACTTAAAGTAATATGGGACAATACTTACGCTATAGTGTTACCATAATATCTTTGCAAATATTTAACTTTGGGTTGGGAGAGGAATGGCATTGGAAATGACTTTATACTTAATGTTCTGACTGTTCTGAACTGAAGACAATTTGAGGCTTTCTTAATGAGACAGAAGATGATTAGTGTTGGTTACTTGATGTCTGAATTCATTCTATTGAAGAATACCTGTCCCTGCCATCAAATTTTAATTGAGAGCCACTGTACCCAAAGAATTGTTAAGCACTGTGGAGGATACAGATATGAGTATAACCAGTTCTTATATTCAACTCAATTAGTGCAGGAATCTTAATCTAAAACAAGAATGAGTACCTTAGAATTATAACTGAAGCATACTTTAGAATCGTTGAGTCTGTCTTCAGGTGAAATGTTGAGATTCAGAAAGGTTAAGTGACTTGCACATGGTACCAGTTAGTGATGACCCTAAGGACTAGAACCTATGTCCTTTTACTTTCAGGCCAGTTGCATTTTCTGTCACCCTGCTCTCTTCTTCAGTAAGATACCTCCTTCTAGACTGTCTTCAGTAACTACTCAGGGAGTACTCTTTTGCTGATTACTGGGGCCACGCTTCTTTGCTTAAGATCTGGAATACATTGGATTCCTGGAGGTCATCTAGTGTGGTACTGAAGAATATGGCTTGGGAGTTATACTTGCCTGAAGTCCTGGCTCTGCAATTTCCTGTGTGACTTGGGGAACTTACTTAACCTCTCCAGTCTCGGTTTCCTTATTTGTTACATGTGAAAAATACCTGCTTTACCGAGTTGTTAGAATGATTACATGAGATCATCTCATGAGATAATAGCACAATGCCTTATACATAGTAAGCATTCAATAAATGGCTGCTGTTGCATTTTTAGAAAATTCAAATGGCAAGGGAGTAAAAGTTTAAAATGTCTTTACTCAAGTTTAATATACATACAGGAAAGTTTATATTAAAGTATGCAGGTCACTGAAATTTCACAAGCTGAAAATACCTGGAAAATCATTGTCCAAACCAGGAAACAGAGCCTTCCTAGCACTCAGAAGTGTTTGAGGGCCCACACTCCCCAAGGTTAACCCTATCCTGATATCATCAGCAACACAGAGTACTTTTGCCTGTTTTTGTATATATATTTTTTTAAGATTTTATTTATTTACTTGATAGACAGAGATCACAAGTAGGCAGAGAGGCAGGCAGAGAGAGAGAGGAGGAAGCAGGCTCCCTGCCGAGCAGAGAGCCCGATGCGGGACTCGATCCCAGGACCCTGAGATCATGACCTGAGCCGAAGGCAGAGGCTTAACCCACTGAGCCACCCAGGCGCCCCGCCTGTTTTTATATTTTATCTAAATATTCCTGTGCTGGGCTTCCTTTGTTCAACAGGTGTATTTGAGATTCATTCATGTTGTGTATAGCTGTATTTTATACATTTTCATTGCTGTATAGTGTTCACTTGGGTGAATATACTACATTTATTTAACCATTCTGTTGATGGCATTTGGATATTTTCTAATTTTTGCCTATTGGGAATAATGTTGCTGTGAACATTGTACTATGTGGCTTTGGGTCCATGTTTCTGTCAGGTATTACCTAGGAGTGGAAATACTGTGTCATAGTACAGGGGAAATAAGAATCTTAATTTAGATTTTAATGTAACCGCGGCTCCCTCAGACTATAGTTGTCCCTTCCATTAGATGATTTGTTACTAGATCAGATGGGAGTGGAGGAAACTGGAGTACACATTTGGCTTTTTTTTTGTTCTAGATACTAAAATCTCATGAGGTCATTTCCAAATTATATTTGTTTCCTACAAAAAAAAATGAGTGTGGCATTACTAAGACCAGGACAAGATAACAATGCTTTTCTGTATGTCTTTTTCAGGATGAGGAAAACAATCCCCTCGAGACCGAATATGGCCTTTCTGTCTACAAGGACCACCAGACCATCACGATCCAGGAGATGCCGGAGAAGGCCCCAGCTGGCCAACTTCCCCGCTCAGTGGACGTCATTCTGGATGATGACTTGGTAGATAAAGTGAAGCCTGGTGACCGAGTCCAGGTGGTGGGGACCTACCGTTGTCTTCCTGGAAAGAAGGGAGGCTACACCTCAGGGACCTTCAGGTAATGGTGCAGCTCTGAGGCATTTGGCACGCTGCTGGCAGCTTGCATTTCTGGTAGTATTCACGCTCTAGTTTGCCATATTGTGGGGCATACATCAGACAGGTGGAGCAGTCTAGCTGCCTGGGAGATGGGATAGCTCTTTTCCATCAGATAAAACTGGTAATACTATTTTATGCTGAAAGTGGGAGTTGTTGGTAACATGGTTATATCCTCATGGCTTACGTGAATTTCTCCCGTATTCCCACCTCCTTCTGATCCACACTTCTGTCCAAAGGAGGATCTGTGGGGCAGCCGAGGATAAATTCCTGAGGTGAAGAATCATCAGCATATTTGTGTCACAGATTAAAAGAATCAGCTGTTGAATTCAGAACAACCTGTCTTTTTTACTTTATTATTTTCTGATTTGCTGTTGGCTCTGATGTTAGGAATTAAAATCCGCAGGCTGCTTCTTATTCTTCTTATTCTTTTTATTCTTATTCTTCTTATTCCTCCTTCTTTGTCTCAGGACTATCCTGATTGCCTGTAATGTGAAGCAAATGAGCAAGGACGTTCAGCCTTCATTCTCTGCTGAGGATATAGCCAAGATCAAGAAGTTCAGTAAAACTCGTTCCAAGGTCTGAGCATCTTATAGGGATTTGAGGGTGGGAATGGATTTGTTAGGGTTGTGTTTGGCATGGGACACCTTTCATCTTTGTAGAGGATCAGGAGGAGGGTCAAGGTTTTTTCTCTAAAGGATGTGGTGTTAGCTTTTAGTTTTGACCCAGTCAGCAAGTAAAAGGATGTTTTTGCTGTTCAGTATTTCTGTTTTGTTACCTGCTGGGCTGCTAAGTGAACCTAATACAAGTACTAGAATAAGAGAATATCAGGGTACCAGTAAGTCCATGTGGACGACAGTAGCGATGCATTGTTACTTAAGTTTTAAATAGGTTATTTTTGTTTCAGTTCTCTACTTTGTTTTGCTTTTTTGCTTTTTGAAGACAAAAAGGTAGAATTGTCCACAGGTAGAATTGAAGAAAGTACGGTTGATCTTGGAACAACACGTGTTTGGACTGTGGGTTTGCTTGCTTGTGGGTTTTTTCTGATAAATCCAGTACAGTACTATAAATGTATTTCTCTTACGATTTTCTTAATGATATTTTCCTTTCTCTAGCTTATTGTAAGAATGCACCATATAGTACATATCATACACAAATGTGTTATGTTTTTAAAACACAGATATTTTTATGTTACTGGTAAGACGAGGTCATTGGTAGGGTATTAGTAAAGTTTTAGGGGATCAAAAGTTATGCATGGATTTTTGACTGTATGGGGTGTTGGCACCCCAAACTTCTGCATTGTTCAAGGGTCATCTGTATGTGCCTGTGTGATCAAGGTTACTGAAAAAACATACCCATACCAAACCAAAACAAAAGGTTACTGGAACCACAATACACATTCTTATTAAACCTAAAGTGTTTGGAACCTGGAAATACTTTTTTCTTTTTTTTTTTTTTTTAAAGATTTTATTCATTTATTTGACAGACAGAGATCACAAGTAGACAGAGAGGCAGGCAGAGAGAGAGAGGGAAGCAGGCTCCCTGCTGAGCAGAGAGCCTGATGTGGGACTCGATCCCAGGACCCTGAGATCATGACCTGAGCCGAAGGCAGCGGCTTAACCCACTGAGCCACCCAGGCGCCCCCCTGGAAATACTTTTTTCTTAAAGATTAACTCTCTAAGCAGGTTTTGGAATATAGGCTTTCCCTTTATCTGTTGTGACAATAGTCTCATCAGTGTGATTTGTCTTAAGAAAAGCCTTTACAGTTAGAAATGGCGTCTACAAATGTGGAGTTCTTCAAGCATTTTTATAGGTTGAAGTATGAAGCAGAGCTTAGCAAAACCATATTGAATCTCAACAGGCTTTTCATGCTTTTGGTTATTCCTCCTGTAGGATATCTTTGACCAGCTGGCCAGGTCGTTGGCCCCTAGCATCCACGGGCATGACTACGTTAAGAAGGCGATTCTCTGCTTGCTCTTGGGAGGGGTGGAACGAGACCTTGAAAATGGCAGTCACATCCGTGGGGACATCAATATTCTCCTGATCGGTATGGCACTGGGGATTTGCATCAGACTCTTGGTCTTCCCTGTGGAGTGTGCTTGTGGGAATCTATAAAAGAATGTGTATTCTCTACCTGGTGTATTTCAGTTCCATCAAAGGGCAGAAGGCTAAAATGAATCTTTTCTTACTGTTGTCATTTTTGTGTTTCCTGATTTATGTCTAAAATATATTCTTCCATGAATGGTAAGGGAATATTATTTATAACCCATTACTGTAAATTTCTCTTATGCCAAGAGCTGTGCTAGAAAAGTAGAACTTGCTGCAGTGTGGTGTGGGAGTGGAGGAGTTTCCTAGCAAGTCACCACTGTCCCATTGAATTATAGGGGACCCATCGGTTGCCAAGTCTCAGCTTCTACGCTATGTGCTGTGCACTGCTCCACGGGCTATCCCCACCACTGGACGGGGCTCTTCTGGAGTGGGTCTGACGGCTGCTGTCACCACAGACCAGGAAACGGGTAAGGCTATGGGGTCTTTGGCAAACGTCCTGTGGTGAGATCAAGTGTAATTTCTTGTAGTTTGCTCTTGGGAAGCTTGTATTGGGAAGATACAAGCTTATCTTGTTACCCTGAAAGTTTAGTTTGAACCAGACTATAGAGGCCAGGGTATCCTCTGGCAATAGGGGGTGAATTAATTAAGTCTTTGGGTGGCCCTCTGGATAAGACTGTCTCCTAAAACACAGCTTTTGAAGAAGGCTTTGCATATTGGAAGGGAAATAAGAAATAAAAATGAAGATAGTGCTATTTTATAAATTTGAGGAAGGGATTTGAAGACTAGTGAAAAGAGAGCAGAGATCTAGTTGGGGAATTACTTGAGGATGAAGATAAAGAGAGAATCCGTGAAAGAAGTTTGTTGGAGGCTGGCTGCTTAGGGATAGTTCAGATTGGACCTAAAAAGGTTGACCCACCAGGATTTTTCTCTAAGTCTCTAGGAACTGACTGTTCCTCACGATTTTCTCATGAGAGACATTGAGTGCTTAGGAAGGAGGTTGAAATCTCTCCCCTTGTTCTCTACAACCTGGATGGTAACACATATCTTGACCTGCTCATTTTCCAGGGGAGCGCCGCCTGGAAGCAGGGGCCATGGTCCTTGCTGACCGAGGTGTGGTTTGCATTGATGAATTTGACAAGATGTCCGACATGGACCGCACGGCCATCCATGAAGTGATGGAGCAGGGTCGAGTCACCATCGCCAAGGCTGGCATCCATGCTCGGCTGAATGCCCGCTGCAGTGTCTTGGCAGCTGCCAACCCCGTCTACGGCAGGGTGAGTGCAGGCAGGCACTTTACCATTGTCCTCACCTTTGTTTGGTTTTGCTGAATAGCTGGGCCATGAAGTCGATTCTTGGAGTCCCAGAGGAATAAAAGGCCAGACTAAAGTTTAGCTCGTCCACCGTTTTGTTCTTGTCCTTAACTTAGAGCAGTGTTTCCTCACGTTTTCAGCCACATCAGAATCCCCTGGCAAGTTATTTATTTAAATAACTTGGAAAATACAAAGAAGAAAACAAAAGTGACCTGCAGTCCCACAACCCAGTAACCTGTATTGCCATTACAACGAAAGTACCACATGCAGATGGTAGGATGTATGAACAGAACAGAGAGTACAGTATGGACATTAGAAGACTTCCCTTTTCTCTCCTATCCCTTCTCCAAGAGATAACCACTAAACTCTTGAGTGTCTGGGGAAACAGAAACTTAAGTGTATACAACAACTATACTGGCTCCTTGTAACCGAATTAGTCTGTTTATCTTTGTTTTTTACGATGATGAAGATGATACTTATTTATTTACAAGGTACCCTTGCCTGATATTTATTTACTATGATGATTATATTTATCCAGCTTGGGGTTTGCCGAATTTCGCCTCTATTTTTTCTTTATTTTTTGGGGGCAGCTGTCTTACATTCCATTGATTTATAGTAATTTGTTTAGTCTCCATTTGATGGGCATTTGGTGTTTTCCCTTACTTTGTGAAATGAAGTTGCAGTGAATATTCCTTTATGTGTATTCTGTTAAGCATGTCCATATGATAAATACCTAGTAACAGAATCACTGAAGAGTTACACGCTTTTTTATTTTGGTAGAGATTGCCAAATTGCCCTCTTTAAAGATTGTACCGTAATAATACTATTAACTAAGACTTACAAATAGTTTGTATTTATCAACTGCCTTTATCCTCACAGTAACCTTGTAGGTAGGTAGTTATTATCCTTATCTTACAGGTGAGAAAATGGAGGCATAAAAAGTTAAGTAACTTACTTAAGAGTCACAAGCTAGAAAATGGCAATCAAAAATTTGAATGCAGAGCCTATACTGTTCTCTGACAATTATGATTCCATAATGTATGGGGTTACCTGTTTGGGTGGAGTTTTTTAAACATGCAGGTGCCTGGTCCCCAGTCCAGGGTTTCTGAATTCAAATCTTTGGGTTGGGGCTCTTGGTAGCTCTGGTTTAGAAGGCTTCATAGGTTGGTGATAATGCAGAGCATGGGCTGAGAACCTTGGTTTTTAGATTAATGGTAACAGTATTTATGTCATCCTAAAGAATTATATTGGGAAATGCAGGGAGAAAATAGCAGGTCCTGAAATGGGGAACATGTTCAGAATCATTATTAAGGTTACCCACAAAGCGTATTAGACTGTCTAACTGTAAAGGGTTTCCGGGTGGGTAGTCTCGTAGGCCCTGAACTGAAAGATAAAAAAGTATAGAGGTTTTTGAGTCCCAGGGAAGATCTCCCTTGAGCCTTAAGATGTTATGATTTATAGATTATTGACCATATTTTTGTGGTTTTACTCATTACCTTCTAAGTAAGGGACTCCAGTGTTTCCGAATGCTTTTGGTTTAGTCAGCTTGTCAACTTTATAAGCGGTAGGGGAAAAGGAATCATCTTTCAGGGTTGGTCCTACCCTTGGAATGGCAGGAGCAGGATAAGGCTTGGGAAGGAGGAGACTGGTCTTAAGACCTATGATAAGCCCGTTAGAGGCACCTCAGCTCGGAGGTGTGGTTCTGAATTTGCTCAGGTCTCCTGAGCTTCAGTGAAAGAAGGGTTGCAGGTAGAGGAACTGAATTAAGTATTTCAGTAGCTTTAAGTAGTCTCCTTGTCCTTTCTTCCCATTGATGTCACCTCCACCTTGCTTTTTCCTTCCGTTGCACAGTATGATCAGTATAAGACCCCCATGGAGAACATTGGGCTACAGGACTCACTGCTATCCCGATTTGACTTACTCTTCATCATGCTGGACCAGATGGACCCTGAGCAGGATCGGGAGATCTCGGACCATGTCCTTAGGATGCACCGTTACAGGGCACCCGGGGAACAGGATGGCGATGGTGAGGCCACAGGAAGAGTCAAAGTGACTAATGGAGGGGAACCTAAACAGACACAGTTATCTCAGACCTGGCCCAGGTCATGATGGGTGTTTGTTTTTGGGTTGATGTTGAAGGTGCCCTTGTCTATGTGACCACTCCCTTCTTGCTCACTGAGAGTCATCCTAAGGTGTGTCTTTTGTCCATTTCTGGGTCTAGGAACACCTTTGAGCATCTTCTGTGAGCCATGTCATTCCACTTTTCTTATTTGTGGGCTCCACGTGTCTGTGTGTCTTGGCTTTGTTAATTTTTTCCTCTCTTCAGAAGAAACAATTTCTTACTCTGCTTTCTCCCAACTTGGGTTTTCCAGCTATGCCTTTGGGTAGTGCTGTGGATATCCTGGCCACAGACGATCCCAGTTTTAACCAGGAAGACCAGCAGGACACCCAGATTTATGAGAAGCATGACAATCTTCTGCATGGGACCAAGAAGAAAAAGTGAGCATTCTTCATACTTCTTGAAGGAACCTGAGATTTCTGTCATATTAGTATGTTTTTATGTGTTCCCCAGGCAGGATCTTGCTTGGATTCATAGCCATGTGGGCCTGTTTTCTTTTCTGGATCTCACACTATATACCCCTTTTCCTGGCCAGTTGCCTTGTGTTTATGGTGATTAAGCTTAGGTTCTAACCTTCCTAAAATGGAAGGCTTTGACAACATGCTCAGCTGATGGTGGGTATATCATGTGATCCTCGTCCCTTAAGTACTGCACAAGTCCTGTAGCTGTTTGTGACAAGCTAATATTGATGGGACGGTAGACTGCAAGCCCTGGGTGCTGTGCAGGTGGATTTGGATAAAGGAGACTAGGGTGGAAGTGTTCCAAGTGTGAAATGTGAGATTTTGTACTTCTGTTTAGGGCTGTGGTGCAGTAGGAAGCGTATAGATTCAAACCTGTCATTTCAGAACAGAATTTAGAGTCAGAAGACTGAATTTAAGTCTTCCCTAAGCCACAGTTTTTACGTATTAAATAGGGCAAATAATACCTAAACTTCTGCCTGTACTGCTTACCTCACATACATCTAAGTAATAGCTACAGAATTCAATAAACATAGATGAAAGGGTCTCATTCATACACATTCTATATAAATGGGATTTATGATAATGGATTCTAGAATATATCTCTGCCACTTGACCTTGACTTCTCTGAGGAGAGGCCAAGCCCCCACCCCAGTCATGTGCCAAGGTTTGGCAGAGAAGATTTCCCTGTGTGTGCATCCAGGGAGAAGATGGTGAGTGCAGCGTTCATGAGGAAGTACATCCATGTGGCCAAAATCATCAAGCCCATCCTAACTCAGGAGTCAGGTGCCTACATTGCAGAAGAGTACTCACGCCTGCGCAGCCAAGACAGCATGAGCTCGGACACTGCCCGGGTGAGTCCCCACAGCCAAGATGGGCCTGGGAATTCTTAAGGCTGGGGAGTCCCTGTTACCTGGGAGTTCTGAAAGCATTTTAACTTAGGGATTCCTTACCTTTTTCTTTCTGGTCCGAAGGACTTCCTGTTCCATAATTCTAATAATTTCCTTTTATAAAGGAAAATGAAGTGAGAATAACCAGATACCTGTATCTCATTAGTTCAGATGGTATTGGCCTCCAGAAGGAGGCAAACAGAAGGAGCCACTTTTGGGTTCTTACATGCAGGGTTAAAATAGGAAGAGCTATCCTCAGAGAGCTCAGATCTGCAACTTAGGAGGTAGGAAGGTAGATGGAAAGATCATATATGCATATTTATAAATATCTAACCACAGTGTGGTACCTAGGAGGGAACGAATGAGAAAGATGATTGGAGTGTAGATGAAGAAGCTGTTAGTTTTTCCTTTAGACTTTATAGAACTGGTACGAATTTGATGGAAGAGAGTGTGCTATTTGAGCTGGACTTTGATAAATGATTAGTTGGATAATCATACTGGTTGTCCAAAGCCATTTCTAGAAATCTGCCTGTGAATTTATCTAAACTGTGGGGCATAGAGTTCACACAGGATTTCACAGCAGAAAGACCCAAGTCCAAGACCGTTATTATGTGCTATAGACATAGACTCTTGGATTTAGGCCTGATCCCAGGTCACCTATTCTAGCCTCACACCCATATAGGCACTCTGTCTTCTGGAATTTCTGCTAAGACTTTCTTGACACCTCTAGTAGCAGCATGTCTGGCACATCACTACTTTGAAATGTTAGAAACTTCTTGTATTTATTGGGCTTAAACTTGCTTCCCCATGACTTGGACCCATGGGTCTTAATTTTGTTTTGTGGGGATTATGTATGACTTGTCTTCTTCAGATTAAGACGCCCCCTTTCTTTTTAATTGTTTCTCTCACCGTGTGAACATGTTTCAGTGTGTCAGAAGCCCTCTCATTGAACAAAACGCTGTTTGAGCTCGGGGCTTAGTGGGTCCGGTAAATCTCTCAATTTGGATTCTGTAGTTCTGCTAACGCAGGCTAAGATTTCATTTGCTTTTTTAGGTTATCCAAGAATTGGAGCTTATAAGGAGTGTGTAACCTCCATACTCTGGTAGCTTTTAAATCATTAAAAGGTTTGGTGACTTTAACTTAAAAGTGAATATATTTGGGGCACCTGGGTAGTGTGGCTCTAGTGGCTCTAGTGGCTCAGTGGTTTAAGCCTCTGCATTCAGCTCGGGTCATGATCTCAGAGTCCTGGGATCGAGCCCTGCATCGGGCTATCTGCTCAGTGGGGAGCCTGCTTCCCCCTCTCTCTCTGCCTGACTCTCTGCCTACTTGGGATCTCTCTCTGTCAAATAAATGAATAAAATCTTTTTTAAAAAAGTGAATATATTTGTTTTTGAATGTGGAATAGGGTTTTATTTATACTATCCCATGATAATTTGCGAAACTTCAAAGTGGAAGTGACCAGATCAAGGATCATACAATGGGCGATGTAGGAGTGTGACAGAAAAAACTAGCCCTCTGTTCTGGTCCCAGGTCCAGCTAATTTTTGGGCCTTGCACAAATCTCTTCACGTCTCAGGTCACAGTTTTTTTAATCCATAAACTGAGAAGGTTGGATAATGTCAGGGATGCTTAACTAGATGGGCACATCATAATCACCTGAAACTTAAAAAGTATACATGTCCATACCTAAACATAGACATTCTGACTCATTAGGTCAGAGATGCCATTCAGCCAAAAGCATTTAAAAAAGATAGAAGCTGTGCTTGCTTCGGCAGCGCATATACTAAAAAAGATAGAAGCACACCAGTTTAGTATGCACCCACCCCGCCATGAGAACCACTTGATGAGAACATGCCAGAATCCTGTTTTCCTCTGGACTTGAATTTACCCAACTTGAAAAATTTGTCCTCACATGACCTCTTTCACACCCCTCCCTTAGTGTGACCTTGCTTAAGTTACCTGAAGCCCTAAGTCCCATTTTCCTCATCAGTAAAACTTGGAGAAGTATCAGGAGTGTTAAATGATGCAGTTGATATAAAAGCAAAGTTCTTAGAGGGTTGCAGACTGGCAGTACAGGATTGTTTTTCCTCCTTCACTATTGTAGTCTTTCTAGCCTTTTTTCTTTCCAGCTGTAAGATGCCTCATTTTCTTCTTCCCTGTTCACCCACCCCTTTCTCCCTCAACACTCCTGTTTTCTTGGCTGCTTTTATTTATTTATTTTTATTTTTTAAAAGGATTTTATTTATTCCTTTGTAAGAGAGCATGTACAGAAGCGGGGGAGTGGCAGGCAGAGGGAGAGGGAGAAGCAGGCTCCCTGCTGAGCATGGAGCCCAATGTGGGGCTCGATCCCAGGACCTTGGGATCATGACCTGAGCCAAAGGCAACCACTTAACCAACTGAGCCACCCAGGTGAACTGATTGGCTGCTTTTATCTTTGTGAATTTTATGTAGTGTTTATACAGAATATATAGCTCTGAATCCTTTATTTATGCTTCCTAGAGTCAGTCTGGTAGTATCTTTATCCTTTTCTGTAAAGTGGGAGTGATGGGAATTCTGACAAGTAATCATCCCTTGTTCTCTTCCTCAGACATCACCAGTTACAGCCCGGACACTGGAAACTCTGATTCGATTGGCCACAGCCCATGCCAAGGCCCGCATGAGCAAGACCGTGGACTTGCAGGATGCAGAGGAAGCTGTGGAGTTGGTTCAGTATGCTTACTTCAAGAAGGTGAGGGCTCCCGTGCTTGGGCCCGAGAGCTCCCCCTGAGTAAATGCTGGTGCTTGGGCTCCCCAGCCCTCCACAATGACACCTGCCTTTAGGTCATCTGTGGAAAGCAGCATCTAGCTGGGAAGCTTTAAAATACTGATGCCAGAGTCCCTAGAGGCCCCAGAGATTTTGGTTTTATTGACGTGCTGCACCATCAACAGATTGCTTCTCTACCTACTCATACTTCGTCTCTTAAAAAAGTAGGTTTCCAAAGGATTAACATTGGTGATCTTCCTCTTCCTTCAACAACATTTTCCTTGCCATTCTCTTCAGGATTCCCATTGGCATCTCAAAATGTCACATCAAAAGTTGAATTCTCAAGCTTGGGCCTGTCATTCTGTTTCTGTTTCTGCTCATGACATTGTATTTCTGTCATTCATTCTTTCTTTATTTATTTATACCAGATTTTATTTATTTATTTGGCAGAGAGAGATCGAGAAATATCAAGAGAGGGAATACAAGCAGGCATAGTGGAGAGGGGGAAGAAGGCTCTCTGTTGAGCAGGGAGCCCGTTGCGGGGCTTGATCCCAGGGCCCTGGGATCATGACCTGAGCTGAAGGCAGACACTTAATGACTGAGCCACTCAGGCGCCCCTGTATTTTTGAAGCCTTCACTGTCTTTTCCTGTTGCCCACCCCATCTCCAGTTCAGTGAACTATAGTCATCTGGGGTTTAGTTATGGGTTTGATAGGCTTTTCCTGGGTTACTCTTTTTGCTAGGATGGGAGTTGTTTTAAATTTAAATTAGTCACTTGATCTATAAAGAAATGAATTGTTTTCCACTTAACCGTTGTGGGCTGGACTTTCTTTTCATTCATTTCTTTGTTCCTTAAATACTCATTTAGTATCTACTGTGGTCAAAGGAATTGAACATATCTCTCAGCATTTTTTTCTTTTTTACAGACTTACTTATTTATTTTAGAGCGTGGCAGGGGGGCAGAAGGACAGGGAGAAAGAATCTCAAGCAGACTCTCTGCTGAACGAGGAGCTTGATGTGGGGCTCAGTCCAATGACCCTGAGATCATGACCTGAGCTGACAGTAAGAGTTGGACACTTAACTGACTGAGCCACCCAGGCGCCCCCCCCTCAGCATTTTTAAAGATAGGTAGCAGCCTGTTCCTCTGTCCCTGGTTCTGGGACTCAGGGATGGAAGAAGCTCAGCCATTAGACCCATGGAAGTTATTTCTGCTGGTGGCGTAGACGGACTCTTACTCAGAGTTCTTCATTCAGTTTCCTGGCATTGGTGACCCTTCCCACCCACCCATGCTTGGCTTGGTCTCAGGTTCTAGAGAAGGAGAAGAAACGAAAGAGGCGAAATGAAGATGAATCAGAGACAGAGGATGAAGAGGAGAAAAGCCAGGAGGACCAAGAGCAGAAGAGTAAGAGGTAAGGCAAAGCAAAGACATGCATTGGGGGTGGGGAGAGGGGAGAGGAGTGGATCAGTACTGCTGGGGTTGACATCAACTTTTTCTTGGGAAGTGTACCTAGATCTGTGGGGTTGGAGGCCAAAGACAACCTAGGCAAAGTAGAGAGCTTAGCTAGCCCCTTTGTTCTTTTGGATGACGACTTTTTAAAGATTTGTTTATTTATTTTAGAGAAAGAAAGACCGTGCACGGGCATGGCGGGGCTGGGGGCAGAGAGAGAGGGAGAGAGAAAATTTAGTAGACTTCCACAATGAGCAGGCATTGGGCTCAATCCCCTAACCCTGAGATCATGACCTGAGCGGAAACTAATAGTCAGATACCTAACTGACTGTGCCACCCAGGCGCCCCTGGTAGGATGCTTTTGACCTCCTTGCTGCTAAAGAAATGCTAAGTAGCAGGAGCACACTAACTCAAACAGGTTTTTGAGTGTATCTTTCAGAATCCTTTCCTCATGGTAACTTTTCCCCTTTCATGCCTGTGATTGAATTTCTGAGGTGGTTGGTAGAAAAAAAGAGCATTGGGAAGCAGGGCCTGTTTGTGTTCTAGTTCAGAACTTTCAGTGTCTTTTTCAAGAAAAAGTAACAGTTTGTATAGACCTGGGCCTAGCATTTTGCTTTGATTGTAGATCGTTCTAGTTCTTTTTCTCTGGTCAGAGGCACAGGATGGGTTTCTTTTAATTGCTATGGGTATTTTAGGAGAAGGACTCGTCACTCTGACGCCAAGGATGGGGGGTCCTATGACCCCTATGACTTCAGTGACACAGAGGAGGAAATGCCTCAAGGTGAGTGAATGTCTCCTATTGATAAAGAGGTGGTTCCTTTGCTGACTTCAGTCACTCCGTGTACTACATTTTCTGGTGGGTTGCCATTTGGTTCCCTGCTCAGGACCCTGTATCCAAAAGGTTTGTCCCAAGAGAACCTCAGGAAACCCAGTCAAAACTTTGGAAACTGGGCTTTGCTCAGTTGTTTGCTTCCTTCCCAAGGAACTGTGCTCTTTGCCAAGCCTGGCGTAAGCATCTCAGATAATGTATTTAAGTGTCTCTTGCCTGACTCAATTTCTTAACCCGGGCTGGTTCCATAAAAACCCTAGGAAGTGGGTGCTCGGTAGGCTCAGTGAGGTGTGGGGAGTGGAGAAGATTACTTTTCTGGTGTCTGTGGAAATGGCTTCACCGTGTTGTCTTACCATTATCTGTAACCATTTATCCTCTAAAGTGCACACTCCAAAGACTGCAGACTCACAGGAGACCAAGGAGTCCCAGAAGGTGGAATTAAGTGAATCCAGGTGAGTAGAAAGGTGAATGCCACATGCTGCTGAGGCAAGGACATTCTGGGGAGAGGGTATGAAAACACGCTGATTATCAGTGGAGCTCAAACTTGTAGGCTCAGTAATTTTTAGAACAGCTTATATTCCAATTTTAATTTCAAACCTAAAAAAAATTGCAAAAAAAAAGTTGCAAAAGTAGTATACAGAATTCTTTTATACCTTTACCCAGAATCCCCGGTTGTTTACATTTTACCATTTGCTTTATAAATGGTTCTTTGTGGGGATTTTAAATATAATATCCTCGGGAGGTCAGGAAGGAAGATAGTCTTGAATTGAAGCAAGGACAAAATTTTTATCTTACTATTTGGGTTCTTCTCAGTAGGGTGTACACACACACACACACACACACACACACATTTTTCTTCATTGAATTGTCCTTTGTTTTGGGATGAGAAGTTTTTACCTCTAGAGGTTCAGGAATAGTTTTACTTATAAATTTTTTAAAGAAGATTATTTATTTTAGAGTGTGTGTGTGTGTGTTTGTGTGTGCATGCATGTGCGTGCATACTTGTGCACATGGGTGGGGAAAGGGGCAGAGGGAGGGAATCTTCAAGCAGACTCCTGACTCTGAGCAGGGAGCCAGACTTGGGGCTGGATCTCACCTCCCTGAGATCATGACCTGAGCTGAAACCAAGAGTCGGATGCTTAACTGACTGAGCCATCCAGGCTCCCCTTATGTATACATTTTTATGTTTACTGGACACCGCAGAAAACCTATGACTAAGGTTTGCTTTTTTCTTTTAATACTTTAAGCATAGAATGCAGTATGTTTACTGAAGAAAATAGGAAAACATTGAAAAGTATTTAGAAAAAATATTAAAATCAATTGTAATCCCTCTTTCTGAGAAACCACTGAAATATATTTTATTTATTTATTTTTAAAAATTTTATTTATTTGAGGGCGCCTGGGTGGCTCAGTGGGTTAAGCCTCTGCCTTCAGCTCAGGTCTCAGGGTCCTGGGATTGAGATCGGACCTCTGCTCGGCGGGGAGCCTGCTTCCTCCTCTCTCTCTCTGCTTGCCTCTCTGCCTACTTGTGATCTCTCTCTGTCAAATAAATAAATAAAATCTTAAAAAAAATTTTTATTTATTTGAGAGAAATAGAATACAAGCAGAGGAGAGGAGCAGAGGAAAAAGGGAGAAGCAGACTCCCTGCTGAGCAGGGAGCCCAACGTGGGGCTTGATCTTGAACTTGAACTTGAAATTAAAAATTTCAGTATAGGGGCGCCTGGGTGGCTCAGTGGGTTAAAGCCTCTGCCTTTGGCTTGGGTCATGATCACAGGGTCCTGGGATCGAGCCCCGCATCGGGCTCTCTGCTCGGCATGGAGCCTGCTTCCTCCTCTCTCCCTCTCTACCTGCCTCTCTGCCTACTTGTGATCTCTGTCTGTTGAGTAAATAAATAAAATCTTAAAAAAAAAAAATTTCAGTATATATGCTGAATTGCCTTTCAAAGATGCTGTTACATTTTATATATATATTTTTTAAGATTTCATTTATTTTAGAGAGAGTGCACATGCAGATGTGCTCAGGGGTGGGGGTATGGAGCAGAGCGAGAAGGAGAGAGAATCTCAAGCAGATTCTTCCCAGAGCCCGACAGGGGGCTCAGTCTCGTGACCCTGAGATCATGACCTGAGCAGAAACCAAGAGTAAGATGCTTAACCAACTAAGCTGCCTAGTTGCCGCCCCCCAAGTTTACATTTCTATGGAAACACCAGTTTCCCACAATTTCATACGCCTCTGGTTTTTAAAATGGTGTTATTTCTCAGTGTGCAGGAAGCTCTATAATAGAATGTTGGGGGATGCCTCTACTGTATTAACACTTAACATAGATCTTGCGTGAGAGCTTTTGGGTTTGTTTACTTCTCCTTCACTCATCTTTTCCTGACTTGGGCAGGTTGAAGGAGTTCAAGGTGGCCCTCTTGGATGTGTTCCGGGAAGCTCACGCACAGTCGGTGGGCATGAATCGCCTCACGGAATCCATCAACCAGGACAGAGAAGAGCCCTTCTCTTCAGCAGAGATCCAGGCTGCGCTGAGCAAGATGCAGGACGACAACCAGGTCATGGTCTCCGAGGGCATTATCTTCCTCATCTGAGGAGAACTCATCTCAGGCTTTGGGTGGTTCTGTGCTGGCGGAGTGAAGCTCTGAAGCAAGTCATGAAGGCCAAGAAAGCTTTCTTTTCTGTAGTACCAGTTAAAACTAATGCATACTTCTGAGCTAAATATCTGAGACTTTGAATAAACTTACCTATTTTTATATTACACACATGGCCTTAATAATGTGCTTTTGTAGACACGTTTAATTTTGTTTTCCTTGAGAGCTCTGCCCAACAGGAGCTGCACCAAGTTACCACACGGTGGCAGCAGGCTGCTGTGCTGTCCTTGGGGCTTAGGTCACTCGGCAGTTTTCTTCTTCAGTGATACCAGCATTTATCAGTTAGTTGTGCAAGCCAAACTTTGCTAATTTGCAATAGCTAAATGGCCGCAGAAGGCCAGCGAATGAAAATCCAAGAGAGGTGACCCTTTGGCTGCCTTTTTTGAGCTTGAATCAAAGCCCCGTTCATGGAGAAGTAATACCTGGTATATCAGATGCCTCAATATTGTGAGTTCTGGCCCATAAGGAGATCCCCTTACAGGATCCTTGTGAAACCACTTACACCTGGATGTTCAGCTCTTGGTCTTTTTGTGCAGAAGTGTGTAGAGGGACTTGGGTTTCATCTTTCCTGCTGTAATGCTCTCAGTAGCTTCCAAAGAACTTTTAAGTTTACTTGAATTAAAAAGAAAAGTGTACTTTATGGGGGCCTGCATCACACGAACTGGAAGCCGCTCTGTAGAGGCGGTTGTGTTGGTTTTCTGCTCTAAGATTGGTGAAGTACTTTCTTCTCCCTTTTTGATGATAGGAACACCTTACCCTGAAACCAGGGCGGGCACAAGATGGGGAGTTCTGGTTTCGTCTCTGATTTTTTTTCCCCCCCAGATGTGAAATCCAAGTCCTCCTATTGGAAGTAATCTGGAGAGTCAGGAGAGGGCACTGGCATCAGGAGTGGACTCTGACCTGAACTGAGCACTGGCCATGAGTCCTGTATTGTGCTCTACTCCGCAGCAGGTGCAAATATAGGACTACATGCTCTTGAGGCCTACTGGTTGGGGATTTATGTCTAATGTGTCAATGAGAAATTTTAAAATAAAATGAGGGCATACACAATAAGAACTATAGGAATTGAGGGGCCCATGAGAGTATCAAAAAGGGATGTGGGCTACCGTGGGGTACTGATGAAGAAAAGGGGTTCTCAAATGATCATTTCCAGAATGGTCCAACATTTTGTGAGTAGGACTCCTGCTCTCTATCCTTCATACCTTGAGAAACTGAGGCAGAATAGGAAAGTGGGCCGATCTAGCAGTCTGTAATAGCTGTAAAGCCAAGTTTACCTTGTTGACATTTCAGCTCTGCAAGCTAACCAAAAGAATTGAAGGGAGAAGACCATGTATTCTACAGCCACAATAGATGCTCATTGTGTTAAATTGACTGTTAGGAACTCAGGGAGTCTTTACATCAGGATTTTCAAAACGTGTGTGTGTGTAGTTTCTCAACTTACAGTAACATTTAAGAAGTTGGTAGGCATTTAAAGGATCTGTTCCTACTCAGTAACCTTACGTTCTTCTTCTTGCTGCACGCATTGACCGGCCACTTATGTAGGGGTGACCTCTCTGCAGGTCGTTCTCTCCTGAGGGTGTCACTGCCACATAGCACTGAGATCCGTGATGGTCCGGATCCACCAGGACAAAAAATAACTCTCTTCATTATCTACATACTTCACTCAAAAAGAGAAGTCTGTTCACATTTAATTTTGCCACTGAAATAGTTAAGATAGTTTGTGGACCTTAGAGAAATATGTCCTATCTTGGAAATTTTTATGCTACCTTATTCCTTAACTCTCCTGGATAAACGAAGTGTCAGTATGAAAAGATAGTTGTCAAAAAAGACAATTTGCTAAGAGTTGCTGGAATGGGGTCTCTTCTCTGCCACTTACCAGATAACTTAGGGTAAGTGTTGAGCTGCTTGTTATTTGATCTGTGAAATGGGGGGACTCATTGCCTGGAAGGAGGCTTGTGAGACATAATTGAGAGCAAGTGGTAAGTGCTTGCCAGCATGGAAATACTCCATGATACTTTCATTATTACTGCAAATTCCAAGTTTCACAAAAACAAAATGTTGCATTTTGATGTGTTTACAAAAAAACATGATCCTTTGGTCAAATCCATTTAAAACAATTTCCCCCTTGTTGAGTTCCTAAGTTTTGTTCTTTTCCGTGCCTTTCCCCTTCTTGATGGTTCCCGTCCTCTGATCAGTGTGGCTCTGACTCAGGTGCTTCTTACAGGGATGACTCTTTAGCTCATGGTACTGGGTTCATCAGCCTCCTCCCAGGGACCAGGATCCACCTGGTATGGGCAGTGTTACCTCAGTCCTTGCAACAGCCCTGTGAGGTATGGTCGTTAGGAAAAAAGAGGATGAAGGTAATGAGGAGAAAGGCTCACAGAAACCAGATAGGTTATGCCCTTCTCATTTTTCCTAAGTTTTCAATGCCCAGTGATCCTAATGATTCCAGACTTCCTGAGGTCAGGTTTCCCCAAAGGCTTTGGTTAGTGGAATAAGGCAGGTGCTAGTGACCTGTGTACTGGCTGCCTCTGTACTCCGTTCTGGCGAGAGCTCTTTGGGAGCTTTCCGCCTCCCCTGCCAGGTTGCTCCCCTCTCCTAGGAGTCAGGTGTCACCACTTGAGCTTCAGAGTAGGGAAGAGGGGAGGTGGAGTGCTGTGCATGGGTTGCACAGGAAATCTCTTCAGAGAGCCTAGAGTTGGCTGAGGAAATGAGCCCTGCACTGGGAATCAAGGGCACTGCCTTTTGAGTTCCTTTTCTGACATACTGAGGCTGAGTTATCGAGCCAGACTGGGCAAGCCACTTCCTTAGAGGGAAATGCTTGGTTTCTTTATCTGGGAAGGGAGGTGGTTGAAATAGGTGCTCTGAGGTCCCTTCTGGTAATGTGTATGACTCTCAGCACCCAGTGTCAGGTCTACCCACAAGACACGTTATTGGCCTTGGCACCACTTGCACGTAATTGGCCTTGGCACCACTTGGAGGCAGGTCAGAATGAGTCTCCTAGCATCTTGTTAAATATCCTTTTGGAGGGCACCTGCCTTTGGCTCAGGTCATGATCCCAGGGTCCTGGGATCGAGCCCCACATCGGGCTCTCTGCTCCATGGGGAGCCTGCTTCTTCCTCTCTCTCTGCCTAGTTGTGATTTCTGTCTGTCAATAAATAAAATATAAAAAAAATATATCCTTTTTGAGGGTTGTGATTTGAGGGCTTCTCTATTTTGTGATTAGAACTCTGGGATGTTTCCATTTATCTCAAGGGGTTTCATTTAATTCCTAGAAAATTTTTAGAATAAAATTTGTTTTTGTTTGACTTCATTTTAATTTGCTGAAATATAAACCTAGTTCACTTTCTTTGTCGGGTCTGATGCCTCAGTGATGAGTACTGGTTTCTATCTGGCCCGATATATATATATATATATTTTTTTTTTAAAGATTTTATTTATTTATTTGACAGACAGAGACCATGACCCGAGCCGAAGGCAGAGGCTTTAACCCACTGAGCCACCCAGGCGCCCCTATCTGGCCTGATAGTAACCAGCATGTAATCCTAGCTCATTCTCATTAGTCTGTTCTCGAGGGAGAAAATGAAGATTCTAAATTCTTTTCTGAATATTCTTACTCTTAAGCCCTGAGTGTGTTTCCATAGCTTAAAGGAGGATATTAGCCTCTGCTGAGATCTTCCATTCTGATAATTGTTCTCACAGTATGAACTTTTGGTGGCAAGCTAAGCCTTCCTACCTTTTAGTACCAACATTTAACCTTGACAGAAAGGTTGGATCATGGCATCTTACATATGTGTGCTACTATTCTTTTTTTTTATTAATAAATTTTATTTTTTTAAACATATAATATATTTTTATCCCCAGGGGTACAGGTCTGTGAATCGCCAGGTTTACACACTTCACAGCACTCACCATTGTGCTACTATTCTCTTAATTTAAGTGGATGGAGTCCTGAATGAGAGCTGTAAGGAAGTTGGATAAAATATCCAAAAATATAGCCTAAAGTTGGAATTGAACTATGAACTATGAACTATAGTTCTTTTTTTTAAAGATTTTATTTATTTGACAGAGACACAGCGAGAGAGAGAACACAAGCAGGGGGAATGGGAGAAGCAGGCTTCTGGCTGAGCAGGGAGCCCGATGTGGGGCTCAATCCTAGGACCCTGGGATCGTGACCTACACCGAAGGCAGATGATTAACGACTGAGCCACCCAGGTGCCCCCATAGTTCTATTTGTTAAAATGTTACTGTGACTGGGATGCCTGGTAGCTCAGTTGGTTAAGTGTCTGCCTTCAACTCAGGTCATGATCCCAGGGTCCTGGAGTCGAGTCCCTCATCGGGCTCTCTGCTTGGTGGGGATCCTGCTTCTCTTTCTGCCTGCCGTTCTCCCTGCTTGTGCTCATTTTAATTTGGGAATAATCATAATAATTATTATATTAATTAATTATTTATTATATAAAAATATATATTTATTCATTAATAATAATATTAATTAAATAATTAATTATATTAATTAATTATTATATAAATATAATATATTTATTTATAATAATAACTATTATAATAAATAATATATTTTTATATAATATATAAATTATATAATATATATAAATTATATAATAAATAAAATTATTATAATAAATAATATAATAATAATAATAATTATTATTATTATAAAATCTTTTAAAAAATGTTATTGTGTTTAATAAAACACAATGGGCAAAATAGAGAACAAAAATTATTTTACTACCTTATTATAGCTATTATAATTTATTCTTGACGAACTTTAAAGCCAGTTTTGAAAGTGACACCTCACAATATACCCAGCGAAACCAGCAAGTTACAGATGAGCCATTTAAGATTGAGATTAACAAATGATGGTAGGGATTTAAGGAGTAAGAATGTTTTGAAACTTTGAATTGAAAGTCAGAGTTCTGAAAATCCTGCAGA